TTTAAGGTGGCGTTCAATTCTTTAGATTCCGATAAAATATGATGGAATTGGAATAATCAATTCCGTTAACTAAATTTTATTACGACATTTGGTTCATCAATGGAATGGAATAGAATGGAATTTCATACATTTCACAAAAGTGGGAAGGAACTGAATTTCATTCAAACCAAGTTTTTTAATATGACAAAACTACTCCATTAAACCAATTTTCTTAATTTATTATTATTATTTATATTCAAAAGAAAATAAAAACAAATTCAAAGAAAATATATTTTGGTATTTTTGATCATTTCATTTTATTTCGTCGGTGACCAAACAAACTAATTCCAATTCATTTGACATAATACATATCATTTCTTGTCAACCGAATATTAACTCAAACTTAGTAACTTTCATTTTAATTTCTTACGGATTACAATTCATTTGGCATAATGCATTTATTTAAAAAAAATATTATATGAACCAAACGTCATCTACGATTGACTCTTAAATAACATTTTATAATTGAAATTGAATTAGTTTATAACAAAGTGAAAACATTGAGAAAAAATTTGGTGGGATGTATGCATTATAACAAAAATAGCATGTAAAATGGTAATATTTTTGTCTTGATATAATCATAATAATTTTATTAATGGGACATATTTATCATCTAATGATTAAATTGGGTTTCGGCATTTTATTCATGCGATGTTTCGAAACACGAATTCGATTAAATATTTCCTTCACAACCAATCATCGTACGTAAGTTTTAGCATACAAATTAATTGTCGTTATGATAGACATGTAAAAATTGAACACTATACGTTATTATGAAGATAACCAATTTTTGGACCAAAAAAAATACCGAATTCGATGGTTTATTCATATTTATTTTCTTATAAGTGGTTAAAAAACGTTACTTTCAAACAGTATAATATTCTTTTAATATTTTTAACTGAAAAATTATCAATATAAATTCAAAGTAATGATTCAAAACGTAATTGACTATTTCAAGAAATTAACAAAATGGATTTTAAATATTGATGAATGGGATCCATCGCAATCAAATAAATGTACCATATCCTTGATTTAATCGACCAATTTATCTTTTCCTAATGTATCATTTGAATTTAATTGAAACTGAATAAGAACAATAATGTAGTGCGGTGAGGAAATATAAGGACAAACACAAAGACTAACGTACGTTAGTCTGATTCCTATTTTCAGTAATGTATTTTTAAAACCTTCATTTCATTATCTGAGATATAGTTAAGATCAGGGTTTTTTTTTAATTGATATGGCATCTTTTCATTTGTTTTTGAATGGAAAAAAAGAAAAATATCGACATTATTGTTTGATTTTTTTTTTTTTGTAAAATATGTATTTTTCAGTTAAGTAAAAAAATAATATTTTAATTTATTTTAATTGTAAAATTTGTAATTTCTTTTAAAGATGGTAAAGTTTGTAATTCTTTTAATGATCGAAAAATTTGTAAGTTTTTTAAATAATTGTAATTTTCCTAATATTTAGGGCCTATTATTTGTTCACATTTTTATGAAGAACTAAAAGTTTTCCCCAAAAAAATCACAGAACAGATAATTTATGCCAATTGTTTATATCGAAAATTACATCAAATATAATTTAAGGTTTGATTGTGGAACGTTAACAATTTAAGATTTAGTTTTGTTTTAATTTAGAAGCATGGATGCCAAGATCACTATTGACATGAGACGTATGGATGAAAACTCGCTTAAAATAACTGGTAACGGATATTAGCGACTTAGATTGAACCGAACCCCCAATCAACCTAAAAAGTCAAAGTTCCATATTATAGAAAACATGTAGACCAGTCAAATACGATAAATATTCCACAAGTCAACCACCAAACAATTATACAGACATCAATATATACGACATTACTGTTCTAGAGTTGCACTAATTAATGAATCTACAAACTGTAGACCTTAAATCTTTTTGGTACAATGTAGTGAAGCAACGACTTAGCTTGATGGTTCTTCGAAAATACCTTACATCAACATACTTGCTTTAATTAGCTTGACGGTTCTTCGATTTGTAGTGACATTTTGGCTTGAGGGTTATAAAATTTATGTTCGATTTGGGTGCAAATGACGAAGATATTGGAGTAAATCAAACACCAAAAATTTTCGCTGATTGCATGAATGTATTTAAAAGGTGCGGGACAAAATGATACAATAGCTTTTGGGGTTTTCTTTTATTTAGTTATAATAATATATGGTATAAATATTTAATTACAATATATTATAATAATAATATAATTTAACTCGTTTTGTAATTATTTTATTTAATTAAACTATTGACATGAAAGTGGTCTATAAGACTTGGGATAATATGCTATAATATCTTATGGTGCTCTACGCTACAAAAATGTAGAGTATCAGCGAGAGAAATTTTCCTCGTAAATCCGTCGTTGATACTGCGGCGGTCAAATGCTCGTAAGTTATGCTATCAGCGACGGATCAGCGAGAGAATGGTAGTGACGGATCAGCGAGGGAATATATTAGCGAAGGATACTTTAGCGAGGGAATAATTTCAGCAATAGATCAGCGAAGGAAAATATTCAGTGACGGATCAGCAAGGGATATGACCAAAAACAGATTCCTCGCAGATCAGCGAGGGAATGAGTTTTTGGCCTATCCCTTGCTGATTTGTGAGGGATTTTTTTTCTTCGCTGATTTTTGTCGCTAATACGTTGTTTCTAGTAGTACGTATTGTCAAAGGTGTAGGATAAAAATGTTACAACTTAAGTACTACTTGAATAGAAAATAGAACCCTAAAAGGTGCCCATTATGGTAGAAGCATATTGTAAAATAGGGAAGAAACGAAATGTAGAAGAAGAAGAAGAAGAAGAAGAAGAAGAAGAAAATAGAAAGCAGAAGATTAGAGGGAATACAAAAGGAAAAGAACGTATATTATCAAATATGAATGAACGTTACGCACAAATAAATCTATTTATGTCTCTATAGCTTGTTAGGCCTCGTGCTTTATTAAAGATTTAACGGATTGGACTTAATTACCTATAACTTTCCTTTCCCCTCAAGCCTCAATAATGATCTTGATCTCAATTCGTTAGCTCTAGTGATCTGATGTTTTCTTCCATCACTATGGGTTTTCTCGTAACAGTGCCAGCGTTAAAGGAATGGACGGTTCGTTCAAGAAATCAGGGTTTTTCATTTGGATATGATACGAATGTTATGGTGGAAACGTATTGTAAAACAAGGAAGAAAAGAAATGTAGAAGAAGAAAATAGTAAATAGAAGATTAGAGAGAATACATAAGGGAAAGAAAGTTCATCATAAAAATCTGAATGAAATTTACACACAGACAAATGTATTTATATCACTACAGCTTGTTGGACCTTGGGCTCTATTACAGATTTAACGGATTAGGCTTTCCCTATAACATGTTTACACTACCAAAAAACCCACTATTTCCGGCGGCCAAATCCGCCGGAAATCCGCCGGAAAAAGGAATTTCCGGCGGAT